TGGATAGTGGATGTGGCAGTGCCTGGAGACAGCAGAATAGACTAGAAAGAACTGGAGAAGATAACAAAATACAAAGACCTACAAATAGAAATAGAAAGACTGTGGCAAAAGCAAGCAAGGGTAGTACCAATAGTAATAGGCTCCTTGGGTGCAATCCCAAAGCAACTGGAGCACCACTTGAACACCATTGGTATTGACAAATTCGCTATTAGTCAATTGCAAAAGGCGGCCTTATTAGGAACTGCTTCCATCCTGCGACGATATCTGTAATACCATCAAACATCCACATCTGCCTATCCCAGGTCCTGGGTACGGACTCGATAGGTAGACAAAATGCCCAATCCAGTCTGAACATCTGCTGACCTTGCGTATGATCCCCAATAATAAATAATAACAAATAGTGGACGTGGCAGTGCCTGGAGACAGCAGAATAGATAACAAAATACAAAGACCTACAAATAGAAATAGAAAGACTGTGGCAAAAGCAAGCAAGGGTAGTACCAATAGTCATAGGCTCCTTGGGTGCAATCCCAAAACAACTGGAGCACCACTTGAACACCATCATTGGCATTGACAAATTCGCCATTAGTCAATTGCAGAAGGCGGCCTTATTAGGAACTGCTTCCATTCTGCGACGATACCTGTAATACCCTCAAATATCCACATCTGCCTATCCCAGGTCCTGGGCAAGGACTCGATAGGTAAACAAAATGCCAAATCCAGTCTGAACATCTGGCTGACTGTGCGATGATCCATAATGATGATGATGATGATGATGATAATAAAAACAAAAATAATAAAGTTGTAAAGGACCTTGGAGGTCATCTAGTCCAACCCCCTGCTTAGGCAGGAAACCATATACCATTTCAGACAAATGGCTGTCCAGTCACTTCTTCCAGTGTTGAGGCCAGGTTCAGTAAAAAAAAAATTTTTTATGGCAGAGAAGCATTTTGGCCGGTCCTGCTTTATTCTGCCCGCCCCAGGCCAGTATTTCGCAATTGCAGAGCCTCAAAGGTCATCCAGTCCAACCCCCTTGCTCAAGCAGGAGATCCTAGACCTTTCCAGGCAAATGGCTGTCCAGTCTCTTCTTGAAAACCTCCAGGGATGAAGCGCTCATCACTTTTCTGTCACGGTGGCCTCCAGGAGGGCTGGACTACAGTTCCTATCATTCCCGGATAGAATCTGTGCACCCCCCAATGTGCTGGCCCTGTTTCCGGCTCAGAGGATTCTGGGCCGATGTTGTGTGGCTGGCTGGCACCCAGGGATGAATGTCAGCAGAAGGGCTGAGAATTTACCGTAGTGCTTTGTAGAACGGCTGCCTTCCCAGCCGGCTCAGCTCACCAAAGGGGCCCAATGCCAGCTCTGAGTGCGAGTGTTGCGCAGCTAATCTCTACCAGGGAAGCTCCCGACGGTCTGGTCTGAGCTCTTAGCATGGGGTGTGCAAAATGGGCTGGCACCTCTGGGAGGTAATCCTGGCTTGGTGGGAGCTGGGAATAACAGCTTTGCTCTTCCTTCCTTCCTTCCTTCCTTCCTTCCTTCCTTCCTTCCTTCCTTCCTTCCTTCCTTCCTTCCTTCCTTCCTCCCTCCCTCCCTCCCTCCCTCCCTCTCTCCTCCCTCCCTCCCTCCTTTGCTTCTTCTCTCCATCCTTCCCTCATTTCCTTCTTTCCTTTCTCGCTCCCTCTTTCCCGTAACTCCTCCCTCCCAAGTTATGTTATAAATAGACGTAAATATGTATGTAAATATATAAATATGTAAATAGTATAAAATGCAATATGTAAATGGTATAAAAGATCAATGACTAGGAAGATATATGGTATATGGCATATGGTATAGTATGTATGGCAAAATAACAGCCGGAAGAGGCACACTGTGTTCAACTTGTTTTTAAAAGTTTACTTAATAAAAACTATAATAATAATAAAAAAAACTTTCCTTCCTCCCTTCTTCCTTCCTTTTTCCTTCCTTCCTCAACCTACTTCCTCCCTCTTTCCTTTAACCTTCCTCCCTCCCTCCCTCCCTTCTTTTTCCCCCTCCCTCCTTTGCTTCTTTCCTCCCTCCTTCCCTTATTTCCTTCTTTCCTCCCTCCTTTCCTCCCTCCCTCTTTTCCTTAACCTTCCTCCCTCCCTTCTTCCTTCCTTACTTCCTTCATTCATTCATTCCTTCATCCCTCCCTCCCTCAACGTACTTCCTCCCTCTTTCCTTTAACCTTCCTCCCTCCCTCTCTCCCTTTTTCCCTTCTTTTCTCCCCCTCCCTCCTTCCCTTCTTTCCTTCTTTCCTCTCTCCCTCCCTCCCTCCTTTCCTCCCTCCCTCTTTCCCTTAACCTCCCTCCCTCCCTTCTTCCCTTCTTCCTTCCTTCCTCCCTCCCTCCCTCCCCCCCCAGGGTGGAGTTCACTGTGGGGGAGAAGCCCATCAGCAACTTCCGCATGATCGAGAGGCACTACTTCCGGGATCAGCTGCTCAAGAGCTTCGACTTCCAGTTCGGCTTTTGCATCCCCACCAGCAAGAACAGCTGTGAACACATCTACGAGTTCCCGCCGCTCTCCGAGGACCTCAGTAAGCAGGGCGGGGGGGGGGACGGGACTCAGGGAGGGTCGCTGCGTATTGGCGCTGTGGTTTGGGGGGCCTCCGGCCAAGCCAGCCAGCCCCGGCTGACCCCCCCTGCCCCCCCGGCTTCTCCCCCAGTCCAGGAGATGGTCCTGCACCCCTACGAGACCCAGTCGGACAGCTTCTACTTTGTGGACAACAAGCTGGTGATGCACAACAAGGCCGACTACTCCTACAGCGGGGGGCCCTGATCCGGCCCAGGCCCCCACCTTCGATGGTGGTCGGGGAGGCCCAACTCACTGGCTGGCCGCAGAGGGGCGGCCGGACTGGACTCTGCACGGAACCGGCGTCTGAGACAGACCACCTGAAGCTTTTCCTTGACCCCCCCCCCGGACTTTGGAGGCAGCGCCCCTCGTCCCCTGCCTTGGGGGGGAGACCATGACCCCACCCTCCGTACCTGCTGGGCAATTGAGGCTCTCGTAGTAGCTCCTGATCTCCCTGTTGTTGGGGAACGGTCTTCCTTGAAGCCCCTCCCTTGCTTGGGGGGAACAGTCATTTTGGTAGGCATTCTACTCCCCCCTCCCCCATCTAAGAATGGGATGCTGGAGATCAGCAGGAATCGTGGGAACTCCGGGATGACCCCCCCCTCATTCCCAGCTCAGAATGTCCTTGGGCAAAGACCCCAGACCCATTTCTTTTGCTCGCTATTTTTGCTCCCCAGTCCTTCTCCAGGGGTGACCGAGGGCAGGGTGGGGGTGCCGGAGACTGTTGGGAGGGTCTCTCCTGGTGGACCCCCTTTGCCACCTCCATGGGAAAAGGGGAGGGGGGGATCTGCTGCTGCAAAAGGACTCATGAAACCATGTTTGATGTGTGTGGGGGGGTGAATAGAAGACTTGCTTCCTCCAACGCTTGTCATTGGACTTTCCCTCCCCACGGACCCTTGGGGACCCCCCAAATAACTGCCCTGTGCTCTCTGGGCATCCATCTCTGCTTCCTCTAATTCCTGGGGAGGGATGGGGGGGCATCTTTTTTAGAGAAAGAGGCGGGGTTCACCTCTCTAAGCCACTTGCATCTGGGGAAGGGTCTTCACTGCCCCTCCAGGTTCCCGAAAGAGCTGCTTTGCCAGGGCAGGTATCTGTGTGTGTTGGGGTGCTTCAGTTTATGCCCTGCTGCGTTGTTGCGTTCCTTTGGGGAGTGTGTTGGGTGTTTGCATGGTGTGATGTAAAAAGTCCATTTGGTGGGCACCGCGACGAGATCGAGCCCAACGGGCGTAAAAACCACGCCTGGCTTTGACTGCACCCCCAAAGCGTGGTGTTTTTTTCACCATACCTGCAGACACCCATGATGTGTGTGTGTGTGTGACATCGTATGACGTGAAAAAGGGCTCGCCACGTGCGCATTACTTGTGAAAGCTGAGCTTTGTTCCTAGACCAGTGTTTCTCAACCTTGACAATTTTAAGGCATGTGGACTTCAACTCTCAGAATTCCACAGCCAGCAACGCTGGCTGTGGAATTCTGGGAGTTGAAGTCCACATGCCTTAAAATTGTCAAGGTTGAGAAACACTGTCCTAGACAGAGGCAACCTGTGAATTGGGGGTGGGGAACCCCAAGAGGGAAAGGGCTGAGGGCCTCCTGGCTGCCACTTTATTGGGGGGGGGGCACTAAGAAACCCTCAGCTGGGCAAAGGAAGCCCTGTGCCCGCCTCAAAGATCAGGGCTGGGAGCCTCTTGCGGTAGGCCTTGTCAATATTTGAGGATGCCATGTCCAACTTTTGTGAGATGACCGTCACAGGCTGGCTGTGGGTCAGTCTTAAGCCCAGCTGGGAAACATCCATTAAGGTTCTCGGTCATCCAGGCAGAGATGACAAACGCACAGGAAGGACAGTTGCAGGAACTGGGTATGTCTGATTTCATGAAAAAAAGGACCAGGGGGGACACGATAACATCTTCCAGTGTTTTGAGGGGCTGCCCCAAAGAAAATAGGGTCAACTTGTTTTCCAGAGAAGCAGAAGGCAGGACAAGAAGCAATGGAGGGAAACTAGCCAAGGAGAGACGCAACCTGGAACTAAGGAATTTCCTGACAGAACAATTCACCAGTGGAACAGCTGGCCACCAGAAGTTGAGAATGCTCCAACACTTGTGGACTTCAACTCCCAGAATTCCTGCGCAAGCATGGCTGGCTCAGGAATTCTGGGAGTTGAAGTCTGCAAGTCATAAAAGAGCCAAGGTTCCCCATCCCTGGTCTAGGGTCTCTTGTTTGAGCAGGGGGCTAGACTAGAAGACCTCCGAGGCCCCTTCCAGCTCTTGATTCTGATTCTGAATCAATTCTGAAGGTTGACTAAGCTTCGGGGATCTCTGCCTGGATGGATGATGGAGAACCTTCATGGGGAATGCAATGGGGAAGGGTTTCCAGAGGTTGGTGTGGCATTAGTTGGCCACAGCCACACACACCCAGAGCCCCCCATCAGGGAAAACACCCTTGCAGATGGTCTTGGTAGAAGATCACCCCCCCAACCCCTCCCTGGCTGTAGCTAAGACCCATCTCTGCTTCTGTCCAATTCCAGGATCAGTTGGCGCACCCCAACTCTAGAGTCGTGGGAAGGCCTCATTCTGCCCCCCTCCCAACCTCTGCCGGGAAAGGCAAATGGGTGGACCTGGGGGGGGGGCAGGCTATTTGGCTAGGGAAAAACTAGTGGGAGGAGGAGGAGGAGGATTGTGGGGTCCTTGGTGCTCTCTGAGCTGGGTGGTTTTCCTGCAGACGTTTCATGACCCAGCTAGGTAACATCCTCAGGGTTAGAAGAGAGGGGGGTTTGTAGGGAGGAGGAGGAAGAAAAAAAAGGACTGTGGGGTCCTGGGTGCTCTCTGAGCTGGGTGGTTTTCCTGCAGACGTTTCATGATCCAACTAGGTAGTGTCATCAGTACTAGAAGGAAGGGGGCTTTCTGGAAAGAGAAAGAAAGAGAAAAAGAAAGAAAGGATGGAAGAGAAAAAGAAAGGATGGTGGGAAAGGAAGAATGGTGGAAGGAAGGAAGATAGGAAGATTCCCTCCTTACTTTCTGTGGCTGTGCTGCCGATGCTGCGTGGCTTATTTTTGCAATGCCTTGCATCCTGGAGAGGTGACAGAGCAGGTAGGACAATTACTTATCCCAGGCAGAGCTGGGAGGAATTTGCGCCCAGCACATTTTGTTCCCTTCCCTCGGACGGCTAAGAGGCTCAGGCAGGGACTAAAAATAGCCGCCTCGGGCTGGTTGCGGTTGTGGGTCACCCCGACAAGGGCCAGCCACAGCCTGGCTGATCCTGGCTTGCCAGATCCCTTGCCAATCTCCGGGGAGGCTCCTTTGCCCGCTTCCAAATGACCTTGAGAAAGAGGGGCAGAGTCACGAGAAGCCTTCCCCGAAGAGGGCTTGGAAACAAACCATCATGGAAGGGAATTAAAACATGCAATAATAGGAGAACAACAAGCCCCGTTCTGAGTGGCACGGAGGGCGGGCAAGCTGGCCTGTCTTTGGCTGTCAGGAAACGAGGGGGCCGTCCGTTCAGGCCAAGCTGGGTTGCCAAAGCAAACCTGCATGTGGTCCAGCCTGCCTTGCCCAGTTGGGCATCAGACGGTGCTGGTGCCCAGGGGGTCGGGCGCTGGGCGGCCTCTGGCCGTCCATCTAGGTTCCTCCTGCTTCTGCTGGGGGAGAGCCAGAAGGGAGCTTTCAACCCTCCCCATTGGAGAGATTTACTCCCTGGCGTTGAAGGGCTGAGGGTGGGGGGGGGGCTCTGGGGTCTTCAGCATCTTTGGACCAGGGAGCCAGTGCCCGTGGGGGGAGGGGGGCCTTGCCAGCCGGGAGGCCAAGATTGCACCTCTAAGTGGAAAAAAACCCAACTTAGGACCGGTTTTCAAACTTGCGACGGTCACAGCCTCCCCAGGGCCACGTTGTTAAAATTTAGATGCTTGGCAACTGATTCACATTTACGACGGTTTGCAATGTGTGTGTGTGAGACGTGATCCCCATTTGCGACCATCTGACAAGCAAAGTCAACGGGGGGGGGAGCTGGAATCACTTAACGACCAGGTTACTAATTTAACAGCTGTGGGGATCCGCTTAACAACCAGGGCAAGAAAAGTCGTAAAATGGGGCAAAACCCGCTTAAGAGCCGACTTTTTCAGCAACAGGAATGTTGGGCTCAGTTGCGGTTGTAAGCTGAGGACTGCCGGGGGTGGGTTAACCTCTCCTATCCTCCTTGCCCCTGTTGGAGGACATCCCCTCCCCCTGTCTTTCGACCAGATTCTGAATCAGCAGAAGCTGCAGAATTACCGGAGTTGGAAGGGCCCTCGGAGGTCATCTAGTCCAACCCCCTGCTCAGGCAGGAGACCCTCTACCATTCCAGTCACCTCTTAAAAACCTCCAGTGAGGGAGTCAGTTGTCTGCTTGAAGCAGCCTTTGCCGTTGTGTGATCTGTGCGTGTGCGTGCGTTTGGTGGGAATTGCTATGTGCGGGTTGCAGTGGATTTCAGACCCTCCAGTGCAGTGGTTCTCAACCTGTGGGTCGGGACCCCATTTGGGGTCGAACGACCATTTCACGGGGGTCGCCAAACAACGCAGTCCGCCATTTTTCCCCCCTTTTCCTTAGCTGGGCTCCTCCCTTTTATTCTATTGGCTTTTGAAAGCCAATAGAATAGACTCTCTTGAATAGAGTCTCATTCTATTGGCTTTCAAAAGCCAATAGGAATTGTCCAGGCTGTCTCTGCCCTGCTGAGCCCGCCAAAAGCCCCAGTCTGCAAACGGTGCTGCACCAGTTGAGTAGTCCTCGACTTACGACCGGTTGAGTAGTCCTCGACTTACGACCGGTTAGGGGTCGCGGCATTAAAAAGGTTGAGAACCACTGCTCCAGTGGGATGCTGAGGAGGGGGCTTTCAAGCAGAGGGGCAGTGCAATGTCCTGCATTTAGAAGGTGCAAATGGTCCCCCACTCAGCCCTGCTGGCTTCTGGGGCCACCGGGCAGCCCCAGATTGACCCCCCCCCCAAAGCAGACAGCCTTCGCCAGCTGGAGGCACAGATAATCCAGACAGGGAGGGTAATTAAAATAGGATTAAAGCTGACGGACAGCCACCTTCCTTGCTGGGGGATGCCAGGTGTGAGAGATGCCAGGCCAGGTACGCAAGGCGATCTACTGTGTCCTCCCACTCCTGAGTACTGGGGAGGGTTTTGCACCCCTCCCCAAATGTGACCTTCATGAACATGTCTAGTTTAATGAAGAGAAGGACCAGGGGTGACATGATAAGCAGTATTCAGTATCTCAGGGGCTGCCCCAAAGAAGAGGCAGTCAAGCTATTCTCCAAAGCGCCTGAAGGCAGGACAAGAAGCAACAGATGGAAACTCATCAAGGAGAGAAGCAACCTGGACCTAAGGAGAAAGTTCCTGACAGTTAGAACAGTGGAACAGCCTGCCTCCAGAAGGGGTGAATGCTCCAACACTGGAGGTTTTGAAAAAGAGACTGGACAGCCAATTGTCTGAAATGGTGTAGGGCAGTGGTTCTCAACCTTTTTAATGCCGCGACCCCCCTACCGGTCGTAAGTCGAGGACTACTCAACTGGTGCAGCACTGTTTGCAGACTGGGACTTTTGGCGGGCTCAGCAGGGCAGAGACAGCCTGGACAATTCCTATTGGCTTTTGAAAGCCAATAGATTTAGACTCTATTCAAGAGAGTCTATTCTATTGGCTTTCAAAAGCCAATAGAATAAAAGGGAGTAGCACAGCTAAGGAAAAGGGGGAAAAATGGCGGACTGCGTTGTTTGGCGACCCCCGTGAAATGGTCGTTCGACCCCAACTGGGGTCCCGACCCACAGGTTGACAACCACTGGTGTAGGGTCTCCTGCCTGAGCAGGGAGTTGGACTAGATGACCTCCAAGATCCCTTCCAACTTTGTTATTATTAACGCATTGCCTTTTGAAGTTCAAACCTGCAAAATGAGAAAACTAGCCCTCCGGTCCGTTTTGAGCACCCTGCACTAAACATTCACCCCCTTTGCACTGATGTTGTTACCTAGCTGGGTCATGAAACGTCTGCAAGAAAACAACCTCGCCAAGGATCCTTCTTTTCAACCCTCAGCTACAGATCTCCTTTATGGAGTCTCATCTGCTCACTAGCCTGTATTATTTTCCTGTCCACCTGTCGGGGAGGAAACTCCCCATTGTCTGGCTGTGCATGCTGGGCCTTTTTGCTCCTGGCTGTGTGGCTAGCTGGCGAAAGATTGCTGCATCTTTACTCGGAGACGGGAATAGAGAGCTTCTGATCCTGTCTTGGGAATAAGCAGTCTGCAGATCCAAGTTTTGCTCCGCTGAAAAACAGCTGATGTGATGTGGAGGTCTCTATCTTGATTGCTCCTAGCTGGAAGTCATCAAAAAGATGAATGTGGGGTCCCAGGGGGCTGGGGGGCAAGGGGCGCATCTGCCAAGGGGGGCTGGCCCCAAGCACAGACCCTGGAGACTAGACAGAAACCCTGGAGAAAATAGGCCAGGGGTCTTCCAACTTGGCCCTTTGATGACTTGTGGACTTCAACTCCCAGAATTCCTCAGCCAGGCACGGGCGTGCCTGGCTGAGGAATTCTGGGAGTTGAAGTCCACAAGTCATCAAAGGGCCAAGTTGGAAGACCCCTGCTTGTGGATTTCAACTCCCAGAATTCCCCAGCCACCACAGCTGGCTGGTGAATTCTGGGAGTTGCAGTCCACACCTCTTCCAGGGGCTGAGATTGAAAATCACTATTTTAGAGCATGTCGCTGTGCATTTGCAGCACGAGCACACCCTCACGAAATGTTCCCCGCAACGCATCGTTTAGCAGAGCCGAATGAGGGAAAAAGGAGAAAAATTATTTTTTAAAAAAAGAGCTTCCTCAAATAGGTCAACCTGTTTTCCAAAGCACACAGGACAAGAAGCAACGCATGGAAGCTAATCAAGAGAAGCAATCTAGAACGAAGGAGAAACTTCCTGGCAGTGATAATTAACCAGTGGAACTGCTTGCCTCCAGACGTTGTGGGTGCTCCAACACTGGAGGCTTTTAAGACGAGACTGGAAATCCATGTGTCTGGAATGTATAGATTCTCCTGCGTGAGCAGGGGGTTGGACTAGAAGACCTCCACGATCCCTTCCAGCTTTGTTACGCTGTTATTCTGTTATTCAAGCCACAGATAGCCTCCCCTCCTGAATTATTTGTCTCTTGATCAGGACTCCCACAGCCTGAAAAACATTTAAAACTATCCTATGTATGGGAGTTTGCGCCCCCTCCTCAGCCGGGACCCTTACCCCAAAAGCCTGATGGTGGTTTAAAGTCCGCCCCTCTGCACAGCATTTAAAAGCACAACTGGGGTTACACGCATAGTATTTCCTCTCTGAGGAACGAACTGAGTTGACTCCTTCTCCGACGTGAGACGTGTCTCCTGGGGCAAGCACCATTTTCTTACAGAAGAGATTAATATATACATACATACATAATATACATGGCTCTGTTCTGGGCCCAGGGCTCTTCAACATCTTCATCAACGATTTGGATGAAGGGATAGATGGGGAACTCATCAAATTTGCAGATGACACCAAGCTGGCAGGAATAGCCAACACTCCAGAAGACAGGCTTCAGATACAGAAGGATCTGGACAGACTTGAACACTGGGCACTAACTAACAAAATGAAATTCAATGGTGAAAAAAGCAAGGTTCTACATTTAGGCAAGAAAAACCAAATGCACAAGTACAGCATAGGTGGCACCATGCTCAATAGTAGTAACTTTGAGAGGGACCTCGGAGTCCTAGTAGACAATCACTTAAATATGAGCCAGCAGTGTGCTGCAGCTGCCAAAAAGGCCAACACAGTGCTAGGCTGCATTAACAGAGGGATAGAATCAAGATCACGTGAAGTATTAATACCACTCTTCAATGCCTTGGTAAGGCCACACTTGGAATACTGCATCCAGTTTTGGTCACCACGATGTAAAAAAGATGTTGAGACTCTAGAAAGAGTACAGAGAAGAGCAACAAAGATGATTAGGGGACTGGAGGCTAAAACATATAAGGAACGGTTGCGAGAATTGGGTATGTCTAGTTTAACGAAGAGAAGGACAAGGGGGGACATGATAGCAGTATTCCAATATCTCAGGGGCTGCCATAAAGAAGAGGGAATTAAGCTATTTTCCAAAGCACCTGAAGGCAGGACAAGAAGCAACGGGTGGAAACTCATCAAGGAGAGAAGCAACCTAGAACTAAGGAGAAACTTCCTGACAGTGAGAACAATTAATCAGTGGAACAGCTTGCCTCCAGAAGCAGTAAATTCTCCAACACTGGAAGTTTTTAAGAAGAGACTGGACAGCCATTTGTCCGAAATAGCGTAGGGTTTCCTGCCCGAGCAGGGGGTTGGACTAGATGACCTCCAAGGTCCCTTCCAACTTTACTACTATTACTATTACTACATATATATATATTTAAAACTGTAATTAAAAAAGAAGCGTGTCAACCAGGTATCCCATGCTTGAAATTTGGTTTTAAAGAAGGAAATGGGGGTCGTCAGCTGGGTGCCCCAAAAGTGTCACCCCATCAGCTTCTCTCCACCATTCCGCACAACCTTTGTGTTGGCTTTGGCTATGGGTCTGGCATGGGCACGTTTGCTTGGGCCAGGACCCCCCCCCCGGGCTGCACCCCGTCTTAAGGGGAGCTGAAAGAATTTCAAGGCAAATAGCAAAAGTTTAAGAATGTTGGAAAGAGCAGTCTTTTTTTCTTTCTCTTTTCTTTCTTTTTCCTTCCTCCCTTCCCTTTTTCTTTCTTTCTTTTCCTTCCTTTCTTCCTTCCTTCCTTCCCTCCCTCCTCCTCCTCCCCCTCCCCTTGCTTCTCCCCCTCCTCTTACTGTTTCAGGTGTCCAGGGAGATACAAAATTCAACAACAGGTAACTGTTAAAACAAAGTATATAAGACAAGATAGAGGTTTTCCTGGGCCAGCCTCACATCTGCCCCCTTCAAAGGGGGGGGGGCATCCTGCTGGCCACCCCAGCCCTTTTGGTACTGAAGGAGCCTCAAAGCTTCCCCATGGCTCCATTGCTCAGACATGGCATGCAGGGGGGGGGGCTCATTCATTTGCAGGGGGACTGCAGTGGGCCTCCCTAACCCCCCCCCCCAGCACTGTGGACTGGCTGCCCAAGCTGTGTGTAAGGGGGCAGAAGCTGAAGCTGCTTCGGGACAGGCCGGTTTAGGGGTCAGGGTGCTGGCCGGCCAATGATGACCTCACTCATTGCATAAACTCAGTTAACAGGATTACCAGGTGGGGAGGGGGGGATCTGGCTCTGACCACCTTATCCCTGTGTGCCTTGCAGAGCCTCTCATGGGGCTGAGGGACAGCTGGAATCTGATGGGGATCTGAACGCCTGCCAGTCTGACCCTGAGTGGCTGGTCGATCCCGAGACCCCCTCTGTTTGTTGAGGACCCCGAAGAGGGCAATGCCAGGGTGCTGGGGGGGGGGGGGAGCCGGTAGCCAGTCTGGGCAAGAGCAGGGCATTAGCCAGAAGCTCCTTTGGGGCAGCCACGCCTTGCATGCCTTGGGGCAGCTGAAAACAAACTGGCGCCTTGGCACCCCACTTTGGCATCCTCTGCCTCACCTTCACTTTTGGGGTGAAGAGGCCCCCAGGCAGACCCTGATCCGCCTGAGGGGGGAACATCAGGATGGGGCCTTTGCTCCTTCCAGGGGGTAATACACAGGGCCCTGCTCCGCTTTGCGTGCAAGGAAGGAAAATACGAAACTTAAGATATACCAAGAACGGCTGCAGAATTTGGGTATGGCTTAGTCCGGAGAAAAGAAGGACTAGGGGGGACAAGATAGCAGTGATCCAGTATTTGAGGGGCTGCCACCAAGAAGAGGGAGAGGGGGAGAGAAAGGAAGAGAAGGAGAAGTGTGCTCTCTGAAGTTGGTGGTTTTCTTGCAGACATTTCTTTACCCAACTAGGTAACATCATCAGCGCTAGAAGGTTTGTGGAGGGGAGGAGGAGGAGAGGGAGGAGGAGAGAAATGAGGAGGAGGTTCTCCAAGGCAGGGCTTTTCAACCAGTGGGACGGGTACCACCTGTGGTCCATGGGCCCCTGGCAGGGGGTACGCGACCATCCTAGAAAAGGGGTAGCGGGGGAGGGGAATGAGCTGAACCGGTGGCAGCACCGCACAAGCCTGAGCGAGAGACGACTGGAGCTGCAGGGCTGTCAGGGCTCAGCGGAAGTGCCAGGATCAGCTCCAGCTGGAGCTCAGCGCTGATCCTGGCACTTCTGCTGAGCCCAGAAGAAGCGCCGATCAGCTGGAATGTTGCAGCCTCTCCAGGGTCTTGTGATTTACATTCAGATGCTTGGCAACCGATTCATATTTATGACGGTCACAGTGTCCCAGGGTCATGTGAAGCGACCAAAACCTGCTGCAACCACCCAGCAGACGGGGGGAATAAAAACCAAACACCCCCACCCCACCCCCACTGCCAATCCTCAACAGAAATGTTCACAACAATGAAAACCTCGGACAGGAGGAAGAGCGCGGCCAGGAGGGCAGGCAGGTGTCTTGCTCGGCTGTGGCTTGGGGGGGGACTTTTTTCAGTGCCATTGTAACTTCAAACAGCCACTAAGCGAACTGTTGTAAGTCAAGGACTACCTGCACTTCATCACTTTTTTCCTTTTTTTTGGTCATCACGTTTTTGACACCTTGCTAGACAACTGGTGGGTACTCGGATATTGCCGTATCCTAAAAATGGCACAATGGGTGAAAAGGTTGAAAAGGCCTGGACTAGTCCAACCCCTTGTTCAAGCAGGAGGCCCTATAGGTCTCCTGCTTGAGCAGGGGTTAGACTAGAAGCCCTTTGAGGTCCCTTCCGGCTCTATTCTTTTCTAACTCTGCCTGGCTTCCCCAAAGAGGCCACTAGATGGCGCCACAGGAACAACCACGCTGGCATCGGTAGCCTCACTAGTCAGTAGGCCCCACTAGAGGGCGCCCTTCCCTTTAAAATGAACAGAGACTTGTGACAAAACAACGGAGTGCTTGGAAGTGGAGGAAAAACAAGCTGCGAAGGAGTATCCTTTGCATGGTTTCATTAAAGGTGAAAACTGGAATTGTTGTACATTAATCAAGCATTACTTGGGTGTACACCAGGGGTGTGCAATGTTGGCAACTTGAAGAGTGGTGGACTTCAACTCCCAGAATTCCCTGGCTAGCTAGCTCCGGGGTAGGCAACCTTGGCTTTTATGACTGGTGGACTTCAACTCCCAGAATTCCTGTCCACCAATCATGAAGGGGGCCATAGTTCCCCCATGCTGACTCAGGAATTCTGGGAGTTGAAGTCCACAAGTCATAAAAGAGCCAAGGTTGCCTACCCTTGAGCTAGACCAAAGGGTTTGCAATGATGGCAACTGGAACAGTTGTGGACTTCAACGTCCACAGGTCTTCAAGTCACCAACATTGCACACCCCTGGTGTTTAAATGCACTTTGGAGATGTGACTTGTATAAATAAAATTGCTTGGAAGGTCTTCCAGAGGTTCTGCCCCTTTCTTCACCCCTCTGATTCAAACCGGCCTTGTAAAATTAAAATGCCCCAGAGGGTGAATACTTTGGTCCAAAATTCTACATTCCTAATCCGTAACACACTAAATAACATTTTATGAAATTGCTTTCGACAAACAGATTTGCCACCTGTCCACTGTCTGCCTTTGGAGCACCGGGCGCCGGGTGTGGGCCAGTTCTGCTAAGCTTCCCAGCAACTGGCTTCTTCCGTGCCAGCCTTGCCCAAGCGAGGTGTGTCGGTCTTCAGCCCTGGCACCACCTGGGCAAGGCAGCCTCTCCCCCTCCAGTCCCCTTTGTCTCCCCCTCTCTGGGCTAGATTTGAACTCACATCCGGAAAGCCATCCGGAGCCTGATTTGAACGTTCTTTTGCCAACGGCATTGCTGGTAATCTTGGTCCTTGGTCCCGGGTGAGCAAATAATTTTTCCAAATGAGCAACTGGGATTCTTGTAGAGGGCTGGGCAGGTGTATAGACACGCACACCTGCACACAGGTAAACCGGAAATTTTTTTTAAAAAAGCAAAGCAGTTGCCTTTGAAATAAAAGAAATCCACACGGTCGGATCTGGTCTGCACTCTCAGCCAAAGTGCTTTCTGATGATGGTGCAGGATCCTGGTTTGTGGCGAGCCATTCGTTCATCCCGGGCCACGTGGCCCCAGGCAGGATGGCGGGTCAAGAGGCACCGTGGGTATGGCTGGGGACCGGGCACTGGGTTTGCACACCCTTGTGAAGGGTTTGGGCCAAACTTCGCCACCGGTCTGGCCCGGGGTCTAGACCAGAGCAACCGGTTTGGAGCCTGGAGGGTTCAGATAGGCGGGGGCCGGGCCGGTGTCCAGGTCCACGAAGGCCGAGTAAAGCGTGGTCAGTTGAACGCCAGGCAAGCTGTGGTGCTGCTGGTGGAGCTGGTCGCTGCCGGGGCTGGCATCCAGGGGGCTGGGGGCCAGGAAGTCCACCTGGGCAGCCGTCGGGGGTCCCGAGATGAGGCCCAGGGGCTCCCCCGCCAGGCTGTCGTCCTTTAGCACCTCCCACAGGTTCCCTGCGAGGAAACGGACGGAAGAGCAGGTGGGACGGGGTGAGGCGAGGGGGGGACCCCCAGCTTCCTCCTCCCTCCCCCAGGAAAGCCGGGAAGGGGGCAGGCGGAAAGGAGCACAGAGGCAGTCCTCGGCTTACAACCCTTTGTTTAGTGGCCGTTTCAAGTTATAACAGCCCTGGAAAAAAATGACTTACGGCCTTTGTTTCACACTTAACAACCGCTGCATCCTCACGGTTACAAGATCAGAATTCGGACGCTTGGCAACTGACTCGTATTTATGACGGTCGGAGTGTCCCACGGGGGGGGGGGGGTAAGGTGAGCCCCTTTTGGGACGTTCTGACGAGCAAAGTCCACGGGGGAAGCTGGGTAAATTGCGACCTACTTAACAACGGCAGGGATCTGCTTAACAACCAGTGCCGAGAAAGGCCGTAAAATGGGGCAAAGCTCACTTAACAACTGGTCGCTTAGCATTTGGGGGCTGAACGGTGGCCGTAAGTCAAGGACTGCCTGTGTTGGGAAAGGGAGGAACGGGCACCCTCCCCATCCTCGGCTGGTCACGCAGCACAGCCGTGAACCCCCCCTTCTGAGAGAAGCAGCCCCCCCCCAGCCGGGACGGTCTGCGCCTGGGCCGCCCATAAAGAGAGAGCTTCTATCATGCCCCCCCCCCCAGTGGCTGCCCTGACCAGAGCTGACCGGCTATCCCAGGGGTAGGCAACCTTGGCTCTTTTATGACTCGTGGACTTCAACTCCCAGAATTCCTGAGCCAGCTGGCTCAGGAATTCTGGGAGTTGAAGTCCACGAGTCATAAATGAGCCAAGGTTGCCTACCCCTGGGATAGCCGGAGGGCTTGGCAGGCAGGGAGGGGCCAGCCCCCTTCCCCTCAGCCGCTCCTCGCAAAGGGCTTCCGGGAGACGCAGATCCAGGGGTGGGGAGCCCCCGGTCTGCCCAGAGGGAAGGGGCACCTTGCAGGTCGAAGCCGGTGATGGAGGGGTTCAGGGCATCGACGTCCATGCTGAGGTCGCCGTCCAGCAGCAGCAGCTCCGGGCGGGAGGCCGACAGCATCTTCATCCCGCATCCTGGAGGGCTCTGGGCCGGGAGAGGGGACGGCAGGGTCCCCTGCCCGTTCTGGGCGTCTGCAGGGAGAGAGCGCAGTGAGTGTCCAGTGGTGGCTGGTCCAGGAGGATGTGCAGGCCCACTCCCTGACTCCGCCCCCCACTCCCACTCCCCGCTGCCCTGGAAGATGGGTGGGCTTGGACCCCACTCCTCGGTCCCCCGCTCTCCGGGAAGATAGATGGGCCGGCTCCCTGCTCGCCCACTTCCCTGGAGGATGGGTGGGCGTGTCCCCTGTCCCCCGCTCCCCGCTCCCCAGGAAGGTGGGTAGGCCCACTCCCTCGCTCCCTGCTCTCCCACTTCCCTGGAGGATGGGTGGGCGTGTCCCCTGTCCCCCGCTCCCCGCTCCCCAGGTAGGTGGATAGGCCCGCTCCCTCGCTCCCTGCTCTCCCACTTCCCTGGAGGATGGGTGGGCATGTCTCCTGTCCCCCGCTCCCCAGGAAGGTGGGTAGGCCCGCTCCCTCGCTCCCTGCTCTCCCACTTCCCTGGAGGATGGGTGGGCGTGTCCCTTGTCCCCCGCTCCCCGCTCCCCAGGTAGGTGGATAGGCCCGCTCCCTCGCTCCCTGCTCTCCCACTTCCCCGGAGGATGGGTGGGCGTGTCCCCTGTCCCCAGCTCCCCAGGAAGGTGGGTAGGCCCGCTCCCTCGCTCCCTGCTCTCCCACTTCCCCAGAGGATGGGTAGGCCCGCTCCCCACTCCCCATTATCCCAAAGGATGGCTGTGCCCACTCCCTCACCCACCCCACTCCCTTGGAGGAAGGTTGGGGGTGCTACCCCCCACCTGCTTCCTGTGCTGGGGGGGATAGCAACTCACAGACAGGCAGCGGCTGGAGCGGCATCTGGCCGGAGACGGAGGGACCCCCAGCTCTGGCCGGGCTGCAGGACAGCAGCTTCTCCGTCTTGTCTCCAATCAGCAGCTCCAGTTCTTCTGAAAAATTGGAAAGGAAGCATCAGCACCAAGGAAGAGTTTTCAGGGCTGGGAAGGTGGATCTGGCCCCTTCTGGGCCCCCAAAACCGCCGGCCTGTACCGGAGACCCCTCGGGAGTGCCAGGGGGCTGGGGGTGAGGCTATGCAGGACCCCGTCCGGAATTGGGGTCATTCAGCCTTCGCTACTGTGTTCCCTTCTTGACCCGCCTTTCTTTGACCGGCCTCTGTGTGTTTCTCCCTCCAACGCTTGTAACAAGGGTGCAGTCCAAGGACCGGCTAGATGATCGGGACCCCAGGCTGGGTTTTGCAGGGCCCCCCCCGTACTGCTTTCTGTACTTCTGCAGCCAAGCCCCTTTAACCCTTGAATCTCAGCTAACTGACCCTTCAGACAATGTTGGTTTACCCAAAGATGCTTTTCCAAAAGGCAGTTGGATCTTCTTGGGTTTTTTTTTCCCCTGGAAGACGTTTCCCTTCTCATCCAGGAAGCTTCTTCGGTTCTGACTGAATGGTGGAGGATGGAACTGAAGAACAGAGGAAGCTCCTTGGATCAGAAGGGAAACATTTTCAAAGAAAAAAAAAGGAAGTTCAGTGGCCTTTTGGAAAAAGCACCTTTGGGACAACCGGAGACCCGGAGGGTTGAGACTCTCCCTAGACCAGGGATAGGCAACCTCGGCTCTTTTATGACTCGTGGACTTCAACTCCCAGAATTCCTCAGCCAGCATGGGGCAACTATGGCCCCTTCATGACTGGTGGACTTCAACTCCCAGAATTCCTCAGCCAGCATGGCTCAGCTTGGAAACCTCTCCCTTTCCCCTCAGCACGGCTGGCTCAGGAATTCTGGGAGTTGAAGTCCACAAGTCGTAACGGGGGCCATAATTTCCCCATGCTGACTCAGGAATTCTGGGAGTTGAAGTCCATGAGTCATAGAAGAGTCGAGTTTGCCTACCCCTGCCCCAGACACCATATTGGATTACCTGTTGCATGAATTCTCCTTCCGCTTCATGGCTTTGATTAATTCCTAGACTGGCTATTAACAAATTAGCTCCTTGATTGGCTTTGGCAGATTGGCTTGCTGATTGTTATAGTCAAATTAACTCCGGGTTGGCTTTACCACATTAATTCCCTGGTTGGCTATTGCCGTACTAGCTCCCTGATTGGTTGTTGTCAAATTAACTCTCGGATTGGTTATGAAAATTGGGATTACAAGAAGGCCGGAGAAGAAGCAACGGACGGAAACTGACCAAAGAGAGAAGCAACCTGGAATTAAGGAGGAGTTTCCTAACGGTGAGAACAATTAACCAGTGGAACAGCTGGCCACCAGAAGTTGTGCGTGTTTCATCACTGGAGGCTTTTAAGAGGAGACTGGATATCCCTTTTGTCTGAAATGGTCTAGGCCTAAGTCAGGGGCAGGCCACCTTGGCTCTTTTATGACTTGGGGACTTCAACTCCCAGAATTCCTGAGCCAAAATGGATCACTTTGGAAACCTCTCCCTTCCCCCTCAGCATGGCTGGCTCAGGAATTCTGGGAGTTGGTCCACCAGTCATAAAAGAGCCAAGGTGGCCTAGCCCTGGTTTAGGGTCTCCTGCTTGAGCAGGGGGCTGGACTAGAAGACCTCCAAGGTCCCTTCCAGCTCTATTCTGATTCTGATTCAGGAAGATCCTGATATTTCGTTAAGTGAGCTTTGCCCCATTTACGACCTTCCTTACCACTGTTGTTAAGTGAATCATTGCCGTTGTTAAGTCAGTCGCACATTAAGTGAATCCGGCTTCCCCGTTGAATTTGCGGGTCACAAGGTTGCAAAAGGGCATCACGTGACCCTAGGACACTGTGACCGTCATAAATGTGAGTCAGTTGCCAAAGATCCAAGTTTTAATCACCTGACCCTGGGGAGGCAGCAACGGTCTTAAGTGTGAAAAACGGTCGTAAGACACTTTTTTCAGCGCCGTTGTAACTTTGAACGGCCAATAAATGAATGATTGTAAATGGAAGATTACCTGTACTTGTTTCTTGAATGTTTTTATGGCTATTAATTTTTTATAGTTTCAGAATTGTAACCCAGCCAGAGTCACTTGGCTGAGGTGGGGGAGGCTATAGAAATGGCATAAATTAAGTAATAATAATAATAATAATAATAATAATAATAATAATAATAATAATAAAACCTGGCAATGGCTAAGAGCAGGAAAATTGAAGAAAGAGACCGAGGGACTAATTCTGGCTGCACAAGACCAAGCCTTAAGCACAAATGCATACAAAGTCAAAATTGAGAAGACAGCAACAGACAGTAAGTGCCGCCTATGCAAAGAAGCTGAAGAAACAGTGGACCACTTGGTAAGCTGTTGCAAGAAGATTGCACAAACTGATTACAAGCAGCGGCATGACAAAGTACAACAATGGTGCATTGGAAGATCTGCAAAAAATATCATTTGCCTGTAAGCAAAAACTGGTGGGATCATAAAATAGAGAAAGTCATAGAAAATGATAAAATTAAACTGCTCTGGACTTCAGAATTCAAACAGACAAGCACCTGCAACATAACACCCAGACTTAACAATTGTCGATAAGAAAGACAAAAAAGTCTGGATAGTGGACGTGGCAGTGCCTGGAGATAGCAGAATAGAAGAGAAAGAACTGGAGAAGATAACAAAATACAAAGACCTACAAATAGAAATAGAAGACTGTGGCAAAAGCAAGCAAGGGTAGTACCAATAGTCATAGGCTCCTTGGGTGCAATCCCAAAACAACTGGAGCACCACTTGAACACAATTGGCATTGACAAATTCGCTATTAGTCAATTGCAAAAGGCGGCCTTATTAGGAACTGCTTCCATCCTGCGACGATATCTGTACTACCATCAAACATCCACATCTGCCTATCCCAGGTCCTGGGTAAGGACTCGATAGGTAGACAAAATGCCAAATCCAGTCTGAACATCTGGCTGACTGTGCGATGATCGATAATAATAATAATAATAATGTTGGAAGGGACTTTGGAGGTCATCTAGTCCAACCCCCCTGCTCAGGCAAGAAACCCTATACCATTTCAGACAAATGGCTGTCCAGTCTCTTCTTGAAAACTTGCAGTGTTGGAGCATTCACCACTTCTGGAGGCAGGTTGTTCCACTGGTTAATTGTTCTCACTGTCAGGAAGTTTCTCCTTAGTTCTAGGTTGCTTCTCTCTTTGGTTAGTTTCTACCCAATGCTTCTTGTCCTGCTTTCTTCAGGGGCTTTGGAGAATAGCTTGACTCCCTCTTCTTTGGGGCAGCCCCTGAGATATTGGAACTCTGCTATCATGTCCCCCCTCGTCCTTCTCTTCGTTAAACTAGACAGATCCAATTCTAGCAACCGTTCCTTATGTTTTAGCCTCCAGTCCCCTAATCATCTTTGTTGCTCTTCTCTGCACTCTTTCTAGAGTCTCAGCATCTTTTTTACATCGTGATGACCAAAACTGGATGCAGTATTCCAAATGTGGCCTTATCAAGGCCTTGTAAAGTGGTATTAACCCTTCACGTGATCTTGATTCTATCCCTCTGTTAATGCAGCCTAGCACTGTGTTGGCCTTTTTGGCAGCTGCTGCATACGGCTGGCTCCTATTTAGGTGATTGTCCACTAGGACTCCGAGGTCCCTCTCACAGTTACTACTATTGACGGGGAACGACCCGTCTCTCTAGCTTTCCCACCTGCCCCAAAAGGGAGACCCCATCTTGCCAAACCGGGGCTACTAAGGGGGGGGATCCTGCGCCCTCCTGCCCCCCTGCCTGCCACTCCTGGGGGCTGTTTCCCAGCGAGGCCCCCCCCAGCACCCGGGGCACAGAGGCTGGCTTTGCTGCCAATGGGGCCCCACCTGGCTTGGCCATGCTTTTCCGGACAGCCACGGGATCCTTTCTTTTCCACTTCTGGAGCTCCTCCTGCATCTTGTCAATCTTGGCCGGGTTGAGGGCCCACAGGCAGCCCTTCCGCGAGGAGCTGCCCATCTTGTTCTCCACTTTCTCAAAGCATTTGTTCAGGGACAGGTTGTGCCGGACCGAGTTTTTCCAACCATCGGGAGCCGTCTAGACAGCGACAAACACAGGAAACACAGCAGTTCAGACGGCTGCAATTTTGAGGGAGAGTTGGCCTAGGCCAGGGGTCTTCCAACTGGGTCCTTGGGTGACTTGTGGACTTCAACTCCCAGAATTCCTCAGCCAGGAGGCTTTATGACAGGGGTCGTCCAACGTGGCCCTTGGATGACTGGTGGACTTCAACTCCCAGAATTCCTTGGCCAGCGTGCCTGGCTGAGGAATTCTGGGAGTTGAAGTCCACAAGTCATCAAAGGGCCACGTTGGAAGACCCCTGGACTAGGGATTCAATAGTGAAGGCACCAGGCTAGAAATCAGGTGGTTGTGAGTTCTAGCCCTGCCCTGGGCATGAGAACCAGTTGGGTGACTTTAGGCTGGTCACCCTCCCTTTCCTTGTCTTCAGTTTCTTTTTTTAAAAAAAATGTATTTAATTTTATTCATTTATAACAGTGGTTCTCAACCTGTGGGTCGGGACCCCATTTGGGGTCGAACGACCATTTCACGGGGGTCACCAAACAATGTAGTCCGTCATTTTCCCCCCTTTTCCTTAGCTGTGCTACTCCCTTTTATTCTATTGGCTTTTGAAAGCCAATAGAATAGACTCTCTTGAATAGAGTCTAATTCTATTGGCTTTCAAAAGCCAATAGGAATTGTCCAGGCTGTCTCGGCCCTGCTGAGCCCGCCAAAAGTCCCAGTCTGCAAACGGTGCTGCACCCGTTGAGTAGTCCTCGACTTACAACCGGTTGGGGGTCACGGCATTAAAAAGGTTGAGAACCACTGTTCTAGACAAATGGCTGTCCAATCTCTTAAAAGCCTCCAGCGATGGTGCACCCACAACTTCTGGTGGCAAGTAGTTCCACTGGTAAACTGGAACTGCTGGGTCTTTCGGTTTACTTAGGCGGCTTTGGAGGGCTTTGTCGCTACGGTGATGCTGTGTGTGGCTGCTCTGTTGGTTGTTTCTGAGATATTTTTGATGTGTGGCAGTTTGTGTTGATTGTGCTGCGGTGGGCTGAGTAGTCAGGCGCCTTTTGATAAAGTTGTTTTTCTTGGTCTCTTTCCTTTTCTTGATGTTCAGGGTTGCTGACCTGTGTTTGTGTTCATCGAAACAGGGTCATCTAGTCCAGCCCCCATCTCAGATTGGACCCATCTCTTAGTATAGGGGTCCCCAACCCTTGGCTATTTTATGACTTGTGGATTTCAACTCCCAGAATTCCTGAGCCAGCATGGGAGTTGGCTCAGTTTGGAAACCACTCCCCCTTCCCTCAGCATGGCTGGCTCAGGAATTCTGGGAGTTGAAGTCCACCAGTCATGAAGGGGCCGTAGTTCCCCCATGCTGGCTCAGGAATTCTGGGAGTTGAAGTCCACAAGTCATAAAGTGGCCAAGGTTGGGGACCCCTGTGTTAGTATATTGTCGCTGTGTCTATAAAAGAGTATTCGCTAGTTGGGTTTAAGAGTTGGGGTTTCAGGACCCCTGGCCTTTAAGGCGCCCTGTTCATTGATTCATCAACAGGCCCCACCATGCAAGCTTCTATCTCGTCACCTGATGGGTTTCGGTCTCAGATTTCTGCACTTATGACTTATTCTTATTGTGAGATAAAAAAAGCCACAGGGACAAACTGTATCAACAACAGCCTCAGCACCGTCAGTTCTACGGGGCGAGCATTTTCAGGTCCTAAATGATGCAGACAGGGGTATCTTTGGGAGTAGCAGAATGTGCCTCTGCTGTTTCTAGAAGCATCTTGGAAGGGAGTCCAGAACAGGGGGAGGGGGAGGGGGAGGAGGAAGAGGAAGAGGAGGAGAAGGAGGAGGAGGATGTGGAGGAGGAGGAAGAGGAGAACTGCTGTGGAATCCTTTGTGCTCTCTGAGCTGGGTGGTTTTCTTGCAGACATTTCATTACCCAACTAGGTAACATCATCAGCACTAGAAGGTTTGTGGAGAGGAGGAGGAGGGGGGGGAGGAGGAGGAGGAGGAGGAGGAGGAGGAAGAGGAGGAGGAGGAGGAGGAGGAGAAGAACTGTGGTCTCTGAGCTTGGTGGTTTTCTTCCAGACATTTCATTACCCAACTAGGTAACATCATCATTATGTTATAAATCAGTGGTTCTCAACCTTTTTAATGCCGTGAGCCCCAACCGGTTGTAAGTCGAGGACTACTCGACTGGTGCAGCACCGTTTGCAGAATGGGGCTTTTGGCCCCATAGAATAAAAGGGAGTAGCACAGCTAAGGAAAAGGGGGGAAAAAATGGCGGGCTGCGTTGTTTGGCAACCCCCGTGAAATGGTTGTTCGACCCCAAATGGGGTCCTGACCCACAGGTTGAGAACCACTGGTCTAGAATGGAACAGGGTCTCCTGCTTGAGCAAGGGGTTGGACTAGATGACCTCCAAGGTCCCTTCCAACTCTGGTATTCTGTTATAAATCACATCCATGAACACCAACTAGAAATCTGAAGATGGGGCAAAAACTCAATTTCACAATACACGGACAGATTTAATCGGAGGGAAATACTGTCCATTTTGGAGCAAGCTAAGTCCAAAACCAGCAGAGAATTCCTGGAAGCCTGGCAAGCCGGCCATCCACAGGCACGCAGAGATAAACAACATTTACATGCCATTCCAGAGACTCAAAAAGGAAAGCAAAGGACCAAAATACATCCTCATCTGTGATCAAGACCCAGATAAGCAGAGATCAACAGAAAGATTAACACTGACTAGATCAAACATCAAGAAGTAAGCAACACCCCAGTCAAGGAACTACCAAACTCAGACAAACAAGCTAACAGTAAACAACAGCCTACTCAAGGAACCACCAAGAATACTCCCGCCAGCACTTGCATGTAAACGGAGAGCAACCTCCCTCCCCTTCTTGCACCGGTGATGTTATCTAGTTTGGTTATGAAATGTCTGCAAGAAAACCACCAAGCTCAGAGAGCACAAAGGATTCCACAGCAGTTCTCCTCTGTCTCTTCCCATCTCCTCCTCTTCCTCTTCCCTTCCTCTTCTTCCTCTTCCTCCTCCTCTTCCTCCTTCTCCCCCTCTTCCTCCTCCTTCCTTCATCCCCCTCCCTTCTAGCATTGAAGATGTTACCTAGTTGGGTAATGAAACGTCTCCAAGAAAACCACCCAGCTAAGAGAACACCAAGGACCCCACAGTCTTCCTCCCCCTGCTCTTCCTCCTCCTTCCCCTCCTCCTCCTCCTTCTGTCACCTCCCTCCCTTCCAGCATTGAAGATGTTACCTAGTTGGGTAATGAAACGTCTCCAAGAAAACCACCCAGCTCAGAGAATACCAAGGACCCCACAGTCCTTCTTCCTCCTCCTCCCCCTCCTCCTCCTCCCCTCCCCCTCCTCTTCCTCTTCCTCTTCCTCCTCCTCCTTGCCAACCCTACTCTCTTCTATCACTGACAATGTTCCCTAGTTGGGTCACAAAACTTCTGCAAGGATACCTCCCAGCTCAGAGAGCACCAAGGACCCCACAATCTTCTTCTTCCTCCTCTTCCTCCTCCCCCTCCTCCCCCTGCTCCTCCTCTTGCTCTTCCTTCTCCTCCTCCTCTCCCCCCCCCCCGCCAACCCCACCATCAGCCATGATGTCCCCTAGTTTTGTCAGGAAACCTCTGCAAGGGATCCTCTCTTCTCCCAGCGCCTGGGGGGGATCTGTGGCTGTCAAAGTGGGAGGGGGCCTTGGACGGGCTCCGGGCGCAGACTCGGGCCCCGTGGCCCTGACCGTTGGGGGCCAGGCTCCCTCCTGCCCCATAGGCAGCGGCAGGCCTTCTAGATCAGCCAGGGAGGGGGGGGGGATGCCGGTGCCCTCCGCTGGAGGCTCACCAGACGCCCAGATGCTGGCGCGGCCCCGGGGTCTCCCGCACCCGGGGGTGGGACCCCTTTCACGGGCGATGCGGGGATGTCAGCCGGGGACGTGGAGCTGCCGCGGTTCTCCGCCTGGGCGGAGCGGCTGCCGGCGGCGCTGAGCTCAGGAAACTCCGTTTGTTTCCAGGCGCAGAAGCTCCCCGCCCGCCGCCAACGGCTGCCAAAGGCTGGCGCAGCAGATCGGATCACCTTGGGAAGCGGATCCTGCCTGCCGGCCGAAAGCGGGGAGGCTGTTTTCCTGCTGGAAAAGGTGCGCCGGTCCTTCCCCCCCCCCCCCGGGCTGAACGTGCGTTTTCTTCCCGGTTGGTGAGAGGCGCAGAGGCGCCCCTGCCCTCCCCCCGGGCGGAGCTGTCGACGGGGAAGCGCCGCTTAGGCCAGTGTTTCTCAATCTTGACCATTTGAAGGCATGTGGACTTCAACTCCCAGAATTCCACAGCCAGCAACGCTGGCTGTGGAATTCTGGGAGTTGAAGTCCACATGCCTTCAAATGGTCAAGGTTGAGAAACACTGCCTTAGGCAGAGCGGAGACAGGAGCCCCGCCCGCGACGACACAGAACAGGTGCCAGGAAGGTGCAAGGAAGGCCGGCTCCATTAGCTCCGGAAAAGTCCGGGACTCCTCGGCTTACGACCACATCCAAGCCCCCCGCCAAGCTTCTGTCGCTAAGTGAGGCCGTCGTTCAGTGCCTTTGGCCCCGCTTTGCGACCGCGTTAGGGGAATCCTTGCAGCTGTTAAGGTAGTCACACCCTCCTGAAGGGAATTTGGCTTCCCACCTTGACTTTGCTTGGCAGAAGGTCGCAAAAGGGATCGTGTGACCCTCCCCCCCTCCCAGGGATGCTGCGACCGTCGTAAATATGAGCCGGTTGCCGAGCGTCTGGATTTTGATGACATAACCGTGGGGATGCTGCGATGGTCATTACATGTGAAAAATGTTCATAACCCCCATTTTTCAGTACCGTTGTTACTTTGAATGGTCACTAAATGAATAAAGTGAAGGAATGCCTGTACTGGAATGTCTGAAATGGTAAATAGGATTTCCTGCCTGAGCAGGGGGTTGAACTAGATGATCTCCAAGGTCCCTTCCAACTTTATTATGGATCATCGCACAGTCAGCCAGATGTTCAGGCTGGATTTGGCAT